TCAGGGTAGATAATCTTATTATTTTATTTATTAATTTATTTATTAATTTATTTATTAGGTTACTATATATAAATTTTATTTTATTCACTAGTATGCTTTGGGTGTATCCAATCCATCTGCTTTACGAGAAACGGCTGTAGAGGTCCCAACAGTATCATGGAAAGACATCGGTGGACTCGATAAAGTTAAACTAGAACTTCAAGAAACCGTACAATATCCTGTAGAGCATCCTGATAATTATATATTTCCATTTTTTAGGGACCTGAATTATTAACTATGTGGTTTGGTGAATCTGAAGCAAACGTTCGAGATGTTTTTGATAAAGCACGTGCTGCTGCACCATGTGTAATGTTCTTTGATGAATTGGATTCTATTGCAAAAGCTCGTGGAGCTAGCTTAGGAGATGGTGGCGGCGCTGGTGACCGTGTTCTTAATCAAATTCTTACCGAGATGGATGGTATGAATGCTAAAAAGAATGTATTCATTATTGGTGCTACAAATCGCCCAGATCAAATTGATCCGGCACTACTTCGTCCTGGTCGTCTTGACCAATTAATTTATATCCCCCTACCTGATGAGGTATCAAGATTAGCGATTTTAGAATCTACATTACGAAAATCACCTCTTGCCGAAAGTGTTAAAAGTAATTTGAAATACTTGGCAAAACAAACAGAAGGATTCTCTGGTGCTGATTTAACAGAAATCTGTCAACGCGCATGTAAATTGGCTATTAGGGAAAGTATTGAAAAGGAATTAAAACGTGATCAGGAGCGTAAGGAAAGAATTGGTGAAGAAGGTACGATGGATGAAGACACAGAAGAAGAAGATTTGGTCCCTGAAATCACAAGGTTTGTTTTTTATTAAGTTGGAACGAAATGTGATAAAGGTATCATAATCATAATTTTTATATTTCTGCTCATCAGTTCTCACTTCGAAGAAGCTATGAAATTTGCTCGTCGTTCAGTTTCCGATAGTGACATTCGCAGATATGAAATATTTGCTCAAAACCTTCAGCAGTCTCGTGGCTTTGGCCTAAACTTTAAATTCCCCGAGGGTTCCAGTGGAGGTCCTTCCACAGACGTACAAAATGGTGGTAATGCTATGGATGTTACTAGTACTGCATTCGGTCAGGATGTTAATGATGACGATGATTTGTATGCTACTTAATTAGTAGCTTCACGCGTGTATCATTTAATATAAATCAAATTAATAAAATTTTTATATGCGTTAGAACATTCTTTTTTGATTAATACTTACAAGATATGGTTAACAGCAATGTTTATAGGCTGTGTAGGCTATGTAGATCAAAAACTTTATACAATGTTTTCAATATTTTTTTTCATGCAATATTTATATAAAGATCTTTCGAAATTTTAAATATTTAGTACAAAAGGCTTAATTTAGTTTAGTAAAAAATCTAAAATTTTATAAAATCTGATTTTTCTAATATATAAATTAAGTTTTTAATTTGATACTTGTAAATTTTAAAATATTTTTTTTCGATAAAATTTAAATAAAATAGTTAAAAAATTATTTAAAAAATTTGTAACTTATTTATTTAATTTTTTTTTTTTTTCATTTGAGTGATTTTATCTATTATTTATATTATAAAGATATACAAGATATAAATTATATAAATTTTTTTTTTTTTATTTTATACAAATATTATTAATCAAAACTTTTATTGGTATTGATAATAAGAAATAATATATATTATAAGAGTATAACTAGCTATATGTACAATATTAAATTATCTAATTTAAGTAGTTTGCTTCAAGGTTTTATACTATTGCTATATTTGAAATCTATTTGAAAATTATTTATTTAAATTTTTTAGCTCTATGATATTTACTCATATTTTATCTTTATTTTATTTAAGTTTGTTTAACTTTATACTACTTCTTCTAAA